AGCGCACTGGCTGCGGGCCAAACATGATGCGGTCAAGGTCGTTGATTCCAAGCCCGTATCAAGATTCAACCTTGGGTCGTTTGCACGTTGGGATGCTCACTGTTGCGGGAATACTCCAATGGCAGGAAGCCAACAGGAGGGCACTGCCGCAAGCATTCCTGATTCCTCTGCTTCAAACGGGAGAAGCCAGGGTTTGCAATCGTTGCCTTAACTATCGTTCGTCAATACCTTTGACACCACAAAGCCCGAGGGCCTCTTACGCTTTGATCAGGCTTCAGAGGAGGTGTTGGGGATTAGATAAATTGAAGTTTGTTGGCGAGTCACGTAAGCACTCAGCCAAGCTCAACTCTGGATGTCGGGAAGTTGTGATTCGGTTCTGTTGTATTAACCAGAGGCGGGATGCCAACAGGTTACCCGGTACAGGCTTCAAGCCCCACATGCGATGCACTGACCTCGCCGAACTGGAGGCACACGCAGCAGCCTCTTAGTCACGGAAAGTATCGAGGAATTGTAATTAATAAGATCTATCCTATAGCCTGCGCACTGCAATTGAGGAAACCTATGAACCTGATGCATGGTGCAATAAGGAGGATGTGCGATGCCACGCTTCAATGGACCTGCGAACAAACTGTGTCCTCCTCCCCCATCTGCGATTGCGAAGATAAGCGGGAAGGAACATCAAGTACCCACATCCTGATGCCGTAATACAAGTTGATAGTCCGTCGTGAAGCGATTCAGTGGTCGTAGGATTCCTTTCTATATCGGGCATGCGCAACCAAGGCTGAAGCTATACCCAGCTCCTCAAGGATCGCAACAATTCTACAGATTCGTTGTTGCTTAAGATTCGGGTAAGATGTTTTTCAACCCTTTGACCCTTTGCATCCAATGTTTCATGTGCGTTATTGATATGGAAAGCTCTACCTGGAGGCTTGGCTCTAGCCTACTCAGGGAGCTAACAGTTCAAGGCAAGTCATTTGCCGGATCTACGCAATGCGATTCCAAACTCTACACCCAAGCGCGGCGGAATGAGCTGCGGCTGTTAACCAGAAGAATACACGAGAAACAAGTATTCAAACAAGGAAATGTAACAAGCATTGCAATCATGCTTGTTTTCCTTGAGCCAAATGTTCGGCTGCTCAGTCTTTGGTCTGTCCGAACCTACACACCTACTGCGCCTCTAGGGAACATGTCCGGGGCACGTGTTTCTTTTAGCGCTTTTGTAGTCGAGTAAACACCATCCTGGAGACTGAGCTCGTGGAGTGCTGGGTTAGTCTCTCGTAGAGTACTTGGACGATTCGGGTGCACTGGAGGCTTCCCCAATCCTGCAGCTCGGCTTGCACTAGAGATCCACGCCGGCAGCAGAACTGCTCGATGTCGCGGTCCTTTTCCTCGTCCTCGCAGGAACAATCCTAGCCGCCTCACCACACGGGCAGCATGCGGGCAAGGGCGGCCGCCCCATACTCCACAACTTGCAGCTGACGAAGCAGCACGGTTGAAGCGCACAATGATCGAACGAGGGATGCAGGGATGCACGCACAAGAAACGGCACACCTTCTAGATGAGGTCTTCGTTTAGACGTTCTGCTTCGATTCAATGCCCGCCTGCCACTTAAGCCCCTTTTCATCCCTTTTCTCTCCTCTGTGTCCTCTTCAGCCTCGTCGATAACCTGGGCGTGCTTCCAGAGAGTCCTAACTCCTAGCAGGTCCTAGCGATCCTAGCCCTCCCTGGCCCAGGAGCCTGGAGGGAGCCTTTGCTGGGCACCACCTTGAGCTGCGTTGAGCCCCCATTCCAAACCTCAGTGCCACACGGCTTACATAGCTCGTGCCGCTGACAAGATGCCTTGAAACGACTCGAACGCGTGTTCGCAGCAAAAGGCTGTGTGCGCAATGCTTCTACAGCCAGAGGCATTCGTTGCCAAGACTACGCCTTTCGGAAACAGTGTTGGCACCTTTGGTGTGCAGAAAGTGGCTCTTTGCAGGCACGGTTTGGCAAGGTTTACAGTCGCAGAGCGCAGGTCGATAAGGCACGAGTTCCCTCACTGACAAGGGCCCCGCACTTCCCTTTGATGCAACTCACATGTCGCGATGCTCCCACCGCCCAAACCGCTGACCATGTTTCTATGTCGGCATTCGCTTACTCTCTAAAGCTGAGAGGAGACGGGCAGGCAGTAGACTGGTCCTTCCGACTGTAAACGCGAGTCTACTTCCTTTACAGTACGACTTCGAGAGTCGGTTTAACTTTAAGTTTGGGTGCCTTTCTCGGATTGCATTGGCAATGTGGCCCGTTCCTTTCCCGTCTCTCAGGGCAGACAAACCGGTAAGCAGACAAATAGAGAAGCAAGCCGGCAACAAGAAGTATGGGAGCTTCATGCAACAAGTTGTTGGTTCAGCGAGTCGTTCTGCGCGCACGAGAGGTCAAGAGTCAAAAGAGCCTAACAGTCTCTCGTGTCATGGCCCCTGCGGCAGTGACCTGTGTATATGTACGGGTGTCCAGGCTGGCAACAGCATCGTGGATCACGCATCATGCTGAGACCCTCCGTTGCGGCTCACTGCGTTGATTAGGTGCATTCGTCTGTCCAGGAGGCACAGTGGGGATCTTCTGAGCTGCGACATGAGGACTCCGCAGAAACATGCCCTGATCCGCAATTGCCCATATTGTCTGCTTGCGTTGTGTTCGTCTACCACCAGTGGATAGAAGAGTTCACGTCTAGCTATAGGGGTTACAGAGGCTCCGAAGGGTTGCCTTTCGAAATGACATATTCGGTGGCGTGTGCCCGTATTTACTTCACATGTTTCACCTCCACCTGATCCTGGATTCGTAGCTTGGTACGAGCTACGATGTGCGCAGGCATTGATAGAAGCGAAAAAAACAGTAGTCATTGCCTCACGCTCAAACTTGCTTCACACACAGCCTCTGTTGATTTTTCGAAATTTCAGCATGGTGATTCGTCGTGACCCCGATGGCGCATGTCGGGAGCACGAGCAGTGCTCTTAGCGTCTTAGCTTGGCACAGGAAACGATGATATCTCGAGCTTCAAAACACCACCCTGTCCCGAAGCTCTTCACTACTCGGCTGGGTCCACGGCCCCCATGACCTGCGATCGGACAGCTTCGAGGCCATAGCTTTGCTAACTTTGCCTCTTGCGTCTGACGTCTCAGAAGTACTCTTGCTGAGCCTGCAGAAAGCGGAGCTCGTTGGAAGTTCCGCTCCAAAGGACGGGCTCCTGCGCTTCCACACCAAATTTGTAAAGCTTTTCGGGATGCCATCTCAAGCGACAAGCGCAACCACCTTAAGGTATAATGAACTGGGCATGTTTTACTCAGAACCGCGTGGTTCCCGTCGGGCAGACCACGCGGAAACTTTTTTATACGGGCATGAGCAAGGGGTGCACGGTTCTTAATTAGCGAGAGACACCCAAAGCCTGGCAGCGGCGATTTTGGGGCTACAGTGTCGCAAGCCGTACTGTGCCAACTTCGAAGGGTGACACAGACCATGACCCGTGCTATCCTATTTCTATGGCATCCTCCTTGTCGGTCCTCCTTCCAGGTCTTGCCATCGCCTGAGACGGACAGGACAGGTCGGAAGAGCTCAGCTAAGGCCATGGTACGCCCTCTCTGCCCTCTGGAGACGAGGTCCAAACCTTGCAGCCACGGACTGCGCAAGGCCTTGCGGCGGCGTTGCCGGGAGCTTTCAAAGACTCTGCAGAGCTTTGCCTGCGCGGCCGTACACCGCCGGGAGGCCGAGGGCCTCAGCGCCCAAGCGAGCACCTGGCGGCAAACCCGCGGCACCAAACCCGCGGCACCGCGCCGCATGCTGGCGCTTCGAGCTGCGAAATCGACACAACGAAAACCGTCCCACCAACCTGGGGCTACAGAAGCGGGTCCGGTTAGGATAGGCGCAGGTCGAGTCTACTTTGCTGCATTTGGGCCGTTTTTTGTGGTGCCCTTCGGCTGTCTGCGTTGCCCTTCCCACAACCCACCCCGACGAAACCCTCGAGTTGAGAGGGCACCACGCTGGTCACCGGCAAACTGTTGTGCTGTCAACTATAGGTTGCTGTATAGTTATTCGCATGGACTCCAACAAGATCTCCCCTTTTGCGGCCTCTCGCCCGGCCGAAGAAACCTGGCAGGCTTTCGAGGCTTGGCCTGCCTCTGCTTTTGAGGTTGGGTCACCCTAAACTCTAAACCCCTGAAATCGGGGGCGCTAAACGTCAACTTGATGCTTCAGGCTCCAAGCGAAGGATGCAATGTGCACAAGGACTTTACGTGAATGTGGACAGTAAGCACAGAACAGAGCCGGCGCATGGCTAGCGGATTTCCACAAAATCAATCTCTTGATGTGAGATGAAAACACCCTCCTGCTCTGACCTTGTGCAGAGGCTTCTGATGCAGATCTGGGCCGGCCAGGAGTGCCCTATGGTGGTCCTGGAAGCTAGCCAAGCTGGCAGACTGCTACGCTGCATGCCCCAGTGATCATGCATGAGTAAAATGCTTGCTACGCCCAAGAACGCAATTTCAGCGGTATCCCAATGGTGGAACCTGGGAATGCTGAAGTTCTAAGACGCGGCAGACACAAACTACACCTCCGAAGCCTCAGATCCTACCCAGGCAGCAAGGGACCAGAGGAGGAGAGGTGACTTCAGGACGAGACTTAAGCCTAATCAACACGGACAGTACCCAGATGGTCAACATCGCATCCCTAGCCCTTAGGATCAGCTTGGACAACGCCTTTCTACGAGCCAAGCCCGGAACCGGCAAAGTCCACCCACGCTACGGGAGACAAAGGGAGACTGAGAGAGTGAAGAAGGAAGCCAGGAACTCGGCGAAAGCCACCCACATGAAGGGGAACAAAGAAGCCAGGCAACCACGCTCATGAAGCCCATGAACGCAGCAACAGTCACCAGAATGTGGGAAATCCTTAAATGAAGTGCGCTCAAGCGCTGCTTGGGAAAAACTAGAGCCCATGTTGCTTGCATGTCCTAGCACATAGAAGCCGGAGTCCTCCCAGGTGCGGTAGGTGACAGGTGGAAACGCCGGCCTCGCGGTTGAAATCGTCTCGTTTTGCGGATCGTCGTTCAGATGACTCTTCTCGAAATCCGATGCTGCAGTTACTGCAGTTTGGAGCCAATCGCCACCCTCCTGTAGTATCCCGGAGGCAGGAAATCCCCTTGCAGAATCTACCGCCTTCACTTGCGCAATTCCGCACGAAGCTGGCTCTGGCACTGCGCTCCGGGGTGCCTTCCCGTAAAGCAAATGTGCATCACGACACCGGCAGAGAAGAGGTCGACACTGTTGGTGTAAGAGTTGGGGCCAAACCTCAGAAAGCAACGCCAGTGTTCGAAAATGTTCGAAATAATGTAAGATGTCATGGCGGCTGTTGGGTTTCTAGCCTTGTGCACAGAGGACAATTCCACATCCTACAAGTACCAGCAGAAGTGCTCAAGTCAAATCTGTGACAGGCTCTTTGAATGGCTTCCCTAAAACCTCCCTATCCGTGAGGCCTGAATGCCCTTCTGGGTTCGACGACTCTTCGCCTTCGCCATGCCATGGCAGGTCGACGGCTCTCCGAGGGAGGTCCCGTCTCTTCACCGAGTCCCTGGCACCTCCGGTGCCATGTAGCCCAGTGTCCTCGCTGCGAACACAGGGGCCAAGTGGCAAACTCGGTTCTTGCGCAAACTCGCTTGACGATCAAGATTTCGACAGCTGCTACAGTAAGCTGCAGCCAAGAAAAGGCTACCCCAAACCTAAAGGCGGAGCGACACTGATGCAAAGCTTCAGGCCGCTTTCGCAAAATTAGAATGAACCGACAAAGCCGTCCGATGTCTGAGTCTGAATAAATACTGCAGCTGTTGCCGAGGTGCCCCATGGCCCCGGCGCCCGTTCCCCGGCAGCCGAGTCCAAAGTCCAGGAGCTTTATCAGTGGGCCTGCGAGGCGGGGCCTCACTCGCCCCGCTCCCTAAATCGGGGGTTCGGGACCAAAGCGCATGTTGCAAATTGCGGCTATTGCAACTGCAAAGCAGGCCCAGAGTTGGTTCGTTTCCGGCTGGGATAGACGGGTCCTTGATCAACACACCGAGATAAAGGTCAACGCCACTTGGCACTCGTCACTTGGCACTTGTCCCCATGAGCTCCGGACCCCTGCCCTGGGCACCTTCCAAGGAGCGGTCGAGGACCATAAGGTTCTCGAGCTTCACGTCGCCTCGGCTTGTTGTCTAGGAAAGAGCCCGAGCGTGTTTCCAGAAATGCCTGAGAGGAAATTGCCTGATCCTGTCGATTGCAGCCCCCGAAGTAACACCTGCAGAATATGTGTTCAGAGTGTATCCTCAGCCTCAGTCCGGCATTCATCTCCTTTTCACTCTTGAAGGTCTGCTGCTCCAGCCTGGGTTTCGCCAAGGCGCGGTGAATCACATCCATTTGATGGATGTAGTGCAGCGCCTGCGAGAAAACAGGCCGTCCGGTTGCAATGCCTCGATGAGGCCCACTCGTGCCTTTTCGTGCCAAAAAAGAAGCATTTCCAAGGAAGTCCAGTTGAGCAAGTGATGACAAGCTTCGAACAACGGCAGTTCGACCTGATTTCCGACTCATTGGCCCCGCACGACCACAAGCACGCATGTGCTCGCTCGAAAAGAAATCACTGAGGCTTGTCTGGGGTAGCAATGCTAAGTAGAGCGCGCATACAGAAGGGGGTCATTTTGTGGAAGCTTGCGCTACTGCACCGTACTTCGGATGCAGCCAGTTCTGAGCTGCTCTTTTCTCGTTCTGGGGGTCAGGCAACTGCACGACATACAACTGTGCTAGTGTAAACCCAGGGCCAAGCTTAAAATGGTATGCTATGCCACTCCTTCATTCTAGGATTCGAAGGACCGTTCCGATGGAGGCGGCCCAAACAGCCCTGATGAAAAAAAGGCAAAAAACAGCTATATAAAAGGCGAAAGAGGGTGCGATAAAGCAAACACCAGGTGAATCAAAAAGGTAACGAACAGGTAAACAACAAAAAAACAAAAAGTAAACACATGTTAGGAAAAAGGTGAAGACGTGGCACAGGCGGCGTGGCTCGGATTTTCCTGCACTGCCACACCCGCCCACCAGCCGGGGCTGGCGGGCGAGCGTCCCTATCATTTTCCTTGGCAAAAGGCGAAGCAAGTGTAAACAAGGTGTCAAAAGTGTGTAAAACAAGCAAAAACAACCCGCCGCATGGTTTTTTGTCGGTGATTTTTGTTGAAGTTGTGTTTTCGCTACAGTTTCAAGCTGATTTTAAGGTTGTTTTGGGTACGAAAAAAGTGCAACGTTTTGTGTGAATCCTACCAAACGTGTGGTTTCAGCACGAT